TACCCCCTATCCATACCACGATTCTTACACCCGAAGCAACGGGCTGAGGTGCTGTGCGATGGAGGCCTCCGTGCGTCTATTAGTCTTGTTGTCTCCAGAGTGCACCTTGACTGACTTCCAACGCGTGCGATGCGATTTATGCCGTAGGGCAAAGTCATGTTCGCACAAGACTCCCAGCGCCGTCACGTTGCGATCAAGCTGATACCGAATAAGACGGACGAGCTGCATATCCTGAAGTTTCTCGGCCGGCAGAGCCTAGAAACTCTGAAGGACAATTGCATAGCTCCTATCTTGGAGTTTCTGTCAATAGACGGGTCGAATTGCTGTTTCGTGGTGATGCCTAGGTGTGTCATATTGCCGTACTTTTTCTTGTTTCTGCGGTCTCATGATGTCTGCAGGTGGGGGACAGACATTCATTTACCACCTCCAAACACACTGCGAGATGTGTTGCAGATCATCCACTCAATGCTGAAGGTCAATCCGTTTCTTATACTGTGACTCGGGACGCTTTCCGACATGAATATAGGGATTGGCATTTCTCCATCGGAACAATGTACTTCATCGAGTAAGGCCTTCTTATTCCTTCCTGTGAATTTTGACCATTCCAACGCTTGTTTTACTTCGTCTTAGGACACCTCCATGACGAACGTCCTCGTGAACCATTTCTCCAGTGACATACCGTCCAACAACAACCCGATACGGGTAAAGCTACGCGACTCGGGACATCTGTTATATGCCCTCTTCGACTTCGATATCTCGATTATTGTACCCGCTGACATCAAGAGGGAGGAGTATAGGCTTCCGTACACGATGTCCTGGTGGGGATGGACACGGCCATATGATACCGCACAAGGCGAGTTCGATTACGACCCTTTTTCGTTCGATGTGGGGTGCCTCGGGCGTGTATTCTGCACTCCCTATCAGGCGAGTTGGTCCCCCAGCATCAGATTTAGTGTCCTGCGTGCCTGACGCTGTGATTAAGCAGGATTTGCCAATGCTTGCACCCTTTCTCGATCGCATGGCGGACCCGCAATATACCTCAGCACTTCACCTCCGGCGAGGCACTCGCATTCTTCGAGGATAGGCTCGCGGAACTTAGCGAGGCGCACATCCAGCGACCTTACCATCCGCCAGATCATGCACTACACAGGACTTATGACGAATATGACAGATGGGAACATGTATCTCCTGAGTTTGCGCGGAGGTGGGCCATATATCGAGAGCCGCCCATCCTTGCTATGACGAGATTCCTGCGTTGGGTTTGCACCTTTGAGACAATGATGTATTTTGTTCCCTTTGTCCGAAGCACTTTGTACAGGATCTGGTCTTTTCTCCGAGCTATCCCGGCTTTTTTCACTGCTGTATGACTTTTTTTTAGATAATTCAAGATATAACAATGCGATTTGTGGCATGAAAGAAGCACAGAATGCGAAGGCATCTGATCGTGTGGAAGCGCTCGCCCCTAATCGCGTGGTTAAGTGCATCGCACGTGACCGTGTTGAGCCCCAGTCAGTCGAAGGTCATTTTTGAAATTGAACAGAACCTCGAGTGAACCTCCCTCTCCAGTCTCCTTGCGATAAACCATGCGAGAATGTTTGCTCTAATCCTCTAGCATGAACGTAAGCATAGTTCACGTTGACCCTTATGTTGACTCAAAGTCTCCATAGGTTGAGCTTACCATCCCATTCCCGTTTCCTATTGTTGTGGAAGACGACAACTTGAATGTGGACATTCTGACAGAACGTTATGCATTCTGGGATTCACCAGCGATATTTCAATGGTTTGAGGCGCGTGGATACACGCTTTACAAGCGGATGCCAACTGGAGAGTATGACCTCATGCCCAACAACTACACCGTTCCGCGATTGCCTTCAGAGCCCTTCGTGCAGGCCGAGTATCCCCATCCATATCACGAGAACTACTCCGCCTACTCCAAGGATTATATTCGTTGCGCGCAGGATACTTCAGTTGAGGATTGCCGTTGTGGCCGCTCTTCTTTTTACTTACTTCGTTGTTGGTGGCACGCAGGGAAAGGTAGTCTTTGCTCAGGACTCGCAGTGTCGCCACGTGGCCATTAAGTTGGTGCCCAACGATACAAATGAGATTCGCATTCTGCAGTTTCTGCGCCGCCAAAGTCCGGAGACTTTGAAAGAGCATTGCCTTATTCCGATCTTGGACATTTTGCCCATCAAAGGGTTCTCTTTCGCAGTCATGCCAAGGTCTGCATATTCGTACGTGCACTGCAATCTACCATATGCTGATCCTACTTCAGATGGGGCTCGTCTATCTACAACCCAGCACCCAATACTCTAAGAGATGTTGTGGGCATCATCCACTCGATGCTGAAGGTGAGTTTATGAATTCTTTGCAGAATTGGACAAGCCTGACGACAGTGAGTCTATCAGGGTCTGTCCTTCCCTCATCACCACAATATTATTCACCGCGTAATCCAATTTATTATTTGATTCCGAAGACCTGACGCTAACTTTGGTAACGCATAGGACATATGCCTGCGCAACGTGCTCGTCAACCACTTTTCAAACGACCACGCTGGGCCTGTGAATCCAACGAGAGTAAAGTTACGCAGCGCCGGCAACCTCTCGTACGCGATCTTCGATTTTGATGTTTCGGTCATGGTTCCCCCCGATGTCGAGAAATCGGAATTCCGCCTGCCCTACAAAATGTCTTGGTGTGGATCGTATAACCACCCATTCGACACTGCTCAGGGAGAGTTTGATTATGACCCTTTTGCTTATGATGTGGGAACAATGGGCAGAGAGTTTTGCCAGGAGTATCAGGTATGACTCTTGGGACTTTGTACTGCGAAAGCTGACTCCTTTGCAAACAGCATCTTTCGGCTAGCCTGCCGTTGCTGGCTCCCCTCCTTGACGGGATGATCACCCGAAACATCTCTCGACGCTTCACGGCTGCACAGGCCCTTCAGTTTCTCGAAACTGAGCTTGGACAACTGCCGGATAAGCACCTGGAACAAGAGTTCTATGAGGCGACCGATGTCACTGAGTATGACAAGTATGACCGTTGGCGCCTACTTCCATCCAACCTCGTTCAGAAGTGGGCCGTGTACAAGGAACCACCCCTCCCCGCAACAACCAGGTTCCTTCGTTGGCTATACTCCTTCGAGTCTCTGGTGCATGTCATCCCTTTCGTTCGTAGGGCGGCTTTCCACGTCTGGAGATTTCCTTATCGCTTTTCCTCGGCCATCCGGTTGCGCCATTAGCCTCTTACGAGCGACAGGCAGCAGCATATATGTGCAAACTTGGCACGCGAAGACTATGACATTTTCGTAGCAGAGGCAAATTGCATTGCATCGTCGGCCTCCTCTTGACTGGTTAGACCAGTGCTCATGGGACATAGGCATCCTGAGCGTTCATATATCCTCATGCTTCGTAGCATCAGTCGCTTTTCCAAACCCTTATGGCGATATTTTTATAAGCCCAAAGTGTTAATGCATAGCGTTCATTAAGGACATTGTACACTAACGCTACTGAATACTTGGGGAAATCGGATAGCCCCCAGTTGCATACCGTGCAGAAAAGATTGGGTCCCATACGAAGTCCTTCGGAGAAAAAGGACCACATACACCATGGTCTCAAAGCTGCAAATCCACGGTAGGGATCTCGTCGTTGTTAAGGAGCGGGACGCTACGATATCGCCCATATCCAGAGGGCATAGATGCATGCAGAGCCGTCGCGCCAACCGAGAGAAACGAGAGAAAAGCAATCGTACTGCAGGGACGTGTCCTATAGACCTATACGAGCGTATCCATCGGAGAGCCTTGACGGTTGATGGAAGGGGTGGTTGTAAGTACGCAGCCTACTTCTCTGTAAACTCAGGAGAAACATGCTGCCATCTGCCAGAAAAGCCAGCCTCCCTGGCCTCCCAAATTCGGATCGACGGGAAATTGACGCAGAGCCTCAGTGGCGGGAAATCGATGTGAAATATTGCGCATCGTCATTTTATCCAGGAACGACTCCAGTATGGGTATGCCCATTGAGGCGAGGTGAATCACTGACCCTCCGTCAACGCGACCGAACCTCTTACCTCGTACTCATCACAGAAAAGCGTTCCAAGACATCCAACTTTGCAAGCAAAGAAGTCATAGTCGAAGTCGCCCTGAGCTGTGTCGTGTGGCTGGGAGTCAGCACCGTCCCAAGAAAGATTATAGGGAAGCCGACAGGCGGCTATATCCGCGTCGGATGGGAATATGATTGCGATGTCGAAGTCAAATAGAGCATAGGTGAGGCGACCATTCCGTCCTATGGCCCGACGCTCAGTATCCATGTCAATGAGATCGTCATCCGAGAAATGGTTGACTAGTGTGTTCTCGAGCTTGAGATCCTGATCAACGAGAAATAAGTGTGGAGTCCTGAGAAGAGGAAGCTGGGGTACTCTGTGGACAATGTTGTTCTGGTGTAAGAATGCCAACGCCTGGAGCGAAGATTGAGATATAGCCACGAGTCTCAGCGTAGGGCCCACCTTCAGCAAAGAGTGGATTATCTCGAGCGTTTCTCCGACAGAATCGGGCTGGGCGAGCAACCTCGGTGTGAAATTGCAAGGAAGGCCAACTTGACTCCATTGCGGGAGGATTTCAAGAACAGGTATGTATGATACAGTCTCCTTTGAGTACCGTCGATTCCTGAGACCGTAAGAACAGAAGTATCCAGTGTTCCTGCGAGTTGGCCAAGATGAATTTAATAGCGACATGATGATTCGGGTCGTTACTCTCTTGTGTGATCACGACCTTGCCCTTCGTGGAAAATGGAAAATCAAATTTGCTCGAGCGACAGAGTTTGCGGCGAGTTCTTACCGAGTTCTTACAGAGTTTCTTACAGAGTGCTCTACTGCACGAAGAGGAACGCTGTTCTCTTGCATATTGCGCGTGGCATAGGCATGCGGATATTGGCGCAATCAAACGACAACCTGGGAAGACCCTGTTTTCTAGACCATAATCGAGGTCCAACTTCTCTCGCTCGTATAAAGTGTAACCGCGCTTCTGGAACCACTGGAAGGTAGTTGAAGAATCCCAGAAAGCGTGTCGTTCCTCGAGGATCTCGGCTGCGAGCTCATTGCCGTCCCCATCAAGTGGAAATGGAAACGAGATGGGCAGTACGGTCTAAGTAGTACTTGTATATGTCAAATAGTGATCAACTACGTTGCAAAAGTTAAAACAGCGAAGCTTACCTTCATAATACATATCTAAGAGTAGTTCAGGTTCAAGGGGTCTAGTTCAAGACGGACCGGATTCCCGTTTGTCCCAACACGGACATGTGACCGTCAACAACTCTGCCACTGACGCCGAGTCGCCGACGCTGTTCTGTGTTCAAACTTCAACGTTCAACTCTTGAATTCTGCCGCGATCTTGTCCCTTGAGCTTTAAGTTCTACTCACAGCGGAACCCGTTTATAATTCATAGTCATGGATGTAAGCCACGTTCCTCTCTCATCTTACGCCGAACAAACCTCTTTGATAGATCAATCTCACTATCCCATTCCAATTTCCCCTCATTGGGCACAACCCATGGGACTCAGACTTCCTGGAAGAGCGTCACGATTTCTGGGACTCTCCAACAACGTTTCGATGGTTCGAGGCGCGCGGGTACACCCTGTACAGGAGGATGTGCCTCGGAGAACACGACATAATGAACCCATTCACCGTCCCCCGATTGCCAACCGAAGACTCTGTGGACGCGGAATATCCCTATCCGTATCACGACAACTATACATCGAACCAAGATTATATATATTCGGCGCTGGATACATCAGTTGGGTGTTTCTGTCTTAACTTTTTGCCCGAGTTTTTCTGCTGATGTACTTTCAACAGGGAAAGGTGGTGTTCGCTCAGGACGTTCACGGTCGCCACGTGGCTATTAAGCTCGTACCAAACAACACAGACGAGCTCCGGATACTTCAGCTTCTTAGCCAACAGAGTCTGAAGGTGCTGGAAGCGAATTGCTTGATCCCGGTGCTGGAATTCCTCCCTATCAAAGGGTTCTGCTTCGTCGTCATGCCAAGGTGAGCTCCTTCGCGACACTTATGTGTGCCCTTTATTTCAGACGTTTATTGACCGCCTGTAGATGGGGCGCAAGCCCTGCTGTCCCAAGCCCTGGCACTCTGCGAGAGGTAGTCCAGATCATGCGCTCAATGCTGAAGGTAAGCTCGCAGTTCACGTATTCGGCCCAGCCTGACCACATACAACATATCTCAGGCATTATCGTTCCTTCATGAACACAACATCATTCATCGTGTAGTGTCGTCTTGCACTCAATCTCTTCATGCAAGACTCTGACACTGCATCCATGCACAGGACATTTCGATGCGGAATCTTTTGGTCAACCACTTCGCCAGTGAATACAACGTCCACGGCAACCCTAGCAGAGCAAAACTCCGGAGCGCAGGTCTTCTATCCTACGCTCTGTTCGATTTCGACATCTCCGTCATGGTTCCTCCAACTGTGGCGAAGTCGGACTTCAGGCTTCCTTACCGGATGTCGTGGGATGGATCGTATAACCAGCCGTTCGACACCGCTCAGGGAGAATTCGACTATGATCCTTTTGCTTTCGACGTCGGAACGATGGGAAGAGAGTTCTGCCGTCATTACCAGGTGGGTCCGTTGTGATGATTACCTTCTTTACTGCCTAAAAAGCATCCAACCTGCTAGCATGCCGCAAAGAACCTTTCCCTGCTGGCACCCCTGCTCGACGGCATGACCACCCGCAACATTCCCCGACGCTTTACAGCTTCAGGGGCTCTTGAATTCCTGGAGGCACGGCTCTCCGAGGTGCCAGATAAACACCTGCAGCAGCCTTTTCTCGCAGCCAGCCAGACTGGCATGTATGATCGATATGACCGTTGGCAGCATGTACCCCCCGACTTTGCGCAAAAATGGGCCATGTACAGGGAGCCACGGCTTCCTGTCATGACAAGATTTCTTCGCTGGTTGTGCTCCTTCGAGGCTATGGCGCATGTCATCCCTTTCATTCGTCGGACGCTATCCTCCATATGGGCTACCCCCTATCAATTTATTGCTTCGGTTGGTCGCCGCCGTCGAGTGATGCTGTGACTAGTTCTGGGATTGTGAATAATTTACTCACTTCATACATATCCATACCTGATTCCTGCTTTGCGAGGACGGCCTGCTTGTCCAATTCAAAGGTTTTCTGTGTAGCCATGTGATCTTGTCGTGGTGCTCGCTAGCGATGAGTTCTCCATATGCGCTCCATCTCCACGACACCTTGTGCACTATATGGATACACAACCGGCCCTTTCAGGTGTTTTGTTGATGCCGTTTGAATCATACTTTCCCCACAATCACTGCACGACCGTGGCTGTGACCAAGCAGGAGGTTGAATCTGAAAGAGTCATGAGTATCGGGGGCTGATCATCACATTTGATGTGAAAGACTGTAGGAGGCTTCCGCGGCCAATCCAGTCATCGTGAAGTCATGAAATAAACAATGTTATTGTGCATCGAGGAGGTTCGAACTTATTCAATAGAGGGAAGACAAGTGACAATCATATCTTGTAGTACATGAAATTCTGAAAGATATGTGGCACAGTGTGCGATGAGAACACTGGATAATACACAACCGGCTGGCCCAGCAGTGAGGATCCTCGCCCTGATCGAAGGCCTCTGATCCTAGGCAAGCTTAAGGGCAGAATGACTAACAGCTTCACTAGCTCGCCAACGCCTCCCCTCGCGTATCGGGACTGCCAACAGTACCTCGTAATGGGCGTTTTCCAGGCGCAGATTGGAATTGAATGAGCCCTGGAATAATAATTCAATCATTTGAATGGCAACCAGCAAGATTTAGAACTTGGAACGCACAGATGATGTTCTGGCTCCCGGAACGATAAAGATACGTTGGCCTGGGGCAATGGTGCGGCGGGTACCACCTGGGGCCATGAAGGTAATGCTTCTTATGACATACAGTAACTCGCTTCCCTGAAGTAGGTGCAAATTAGCTGTTTATCAGGTACATGAGCATCGTAAAATATAGTTACAGTCCAAAAATCACTTCCAGGTGGGCCGCCTGGGGTAAGCGAAAAGCACGAGTGGGAGATCCACCTCGGGCTAGAAATGCGATTGCCAGGCTCGAACTTGTTTGGTATTTCCACGGTAAAGTCTTCGTACAAACTGTAAGTAAAATCGTTCGGGGCCAAAGGTTCCATATTGATCTTCGAAAGTGAGTCAGAATGGGTGCTAGTACGAGTACTTGTCACGGTGAATACTGACCGACTCTCGACCTTTTGCATTCTTTCGCAACACGGTGACAATCGCCCCCACTGGTTTGACAATATTATTCTGTATGACTTCGCGCGTTCCAGCCCTGAGAACTACGCCAACGACGGCTTGTTTGAGCTTAACGTGGTCGCCCTCCTGCCAAAGAATGATGAGTCAGTAATGCCTTCCAGCTTGAAAGACAAGACAATACCTTGAATTCGACTACACTGGAGTGACTCATGCTAAGTATGGTGGGTTGGAAGACAGTGCTGGAACGGTGTTCGTTGCTGTATGGACGCATATTTCCCATGCTTTTATACTCGAATTGGCCTTGCGGAAAGAGATGCAGAAAAGTTTTTTGTCGTCACAGCCATCTGGGGCCTTCGACTCGGAGACCCTTCTAACTGGGATCACTCAGATCAGACATGGGTCCATATGACTTTGATGTACACAAGCCAAAATGGTATATGGATGGCAGGTAAAACCACCGGCAAAGGATCAGGAACTCTCCGGTCGGAGTTCGATGTTCAGTGATGATCTTCAAATTAAAAGGACACCATATATGGCAAAAATCTCCAAAATAGGGCAATCAGATAACGATGATCAATCGAAGTAAAGATCCAGGTTGATGTCGATAGGTTGAAAAAGGAAGGGCATGTTTTTTCTCGAGTCAGAGAGAAAATAACCCTGGGAAACGAAGAGAATTGCTGTATTGTTCCAGAAATCAGGGTCCAAATATGCGACTAATTGTGGGACAATCGTGATGTCGGCACAAGGCAACACGTCCAGGACATGATCTTCAAAGCACGTTTTCCCAATATTCTTGGATTACCTTTAAAACGGAGACAGGTCCAGGTATGCCTCCAGAATAGAGACGACCTTTTAGGGAGGACAATGAGAAGACTTTCAAGTTGCACACCACCGCGTGCATCAGATCTAAACCACAAAAGCAATGTCCGAACGTTCCAAGAAGTGGAAAAGATCTTGGGCAGCGGAGATTCTACAGCGAGAAGCCTCACAAGCAAGGCACGAATGAGCAGGGTTTTGGACGCGGCATTCAGCTTGGGCAGCTGCCGGCGAGCAAGCACAGTGTGTTCAAACTGCCCTCTATTACTCAGCGACATGCAGATAGAGAAACGTGACAGAACGACGAACAAGTCTGAAGAATATCCGCTCGTAGAAACACTTATGGATTCCTCCGTCCAGGATTTCTGACGTTACTCATGCTGTATGCACGTCACTGACTCACGGATGACCATCAGATAAGCGCCCGACAAAACTGCGCGGGCGGACTTCCAAACGATTCACGAGACCAACGCGTGTTGTACTGAGTTTGAATAAATTTGAGTTCTTTTTCCCCGAGCCACCGGCAGCAATTAGTATTCGAAGGACTCTTTGAGAAGGCGCAAGAAAGTAGACCCCAAAATCTGTTTGCACACAGCATTGAGACAGCACGTCCGTTCATCTCATCCGAGTATTCGCGCACAAATTCCGATCTTCGCGGTCAAACCCACAAGCAAGAAGGCACAAGGGACCTGGAATTCGTGGTGACAAACATGCCATGAGGCGGTCAGATGGCGGACAACGGAGGGCATATTGAGGAGTCGGTGACGTTATGCATTTCGCCGTGGCGTCTGATAGAGGGAAATCATACACTCTGCCACACGAGGTACCCAGACACTTCCCATAAGCTCGGAGTCAAGCATACAAGTCGGCTGCAGCCGGTACATACTCTAGCATATTGAATACTGCACATTGTGAGGTTCTCCGACGACGAGCTAGTAGCTGTGAAAAGGGACTGGTTAATGACTGAGCTCCCACATCCCACAGACTTGGCGTATAAGATTGATTCCGTGGTCGAACATACCTGCGCCAAACCGGAGTTCCAGTCCGCTAACTGTGAACGTCTGTGACGGAAGTGAGATTTTCGTATCCTGAAGTCCCATGAAAACATATAGCATTCTTGAGGACACTTAGCAACTCACGATACAGGGATCGCGCTGAAGAATCGGAGGACACAGAAGCAAGAGCCAAGACGGGCGCTCGCCGGCTGGCATGGGACCATACCTCATCGTATTAAACAAGTCGGTATGCCGGTCAGAGACCCGATCCACCTATTCGTCTCAGTACGACTTGAATTCTCTTCGTTTCGCTCTGGCGTGAGGTGAATCATTGACCCACCATCAAAAAGAACGAACCCATTACCTTGTACTCGTCACGGAAAAGTATTCCAAGACATTCAATGTCAGAATCGTAGTTGACTTCGCCATGGGCTGCGCCGTGTGGCCAGGAATCAGCACCACCCCAAGAGAGATAACAGAGAATTCGACAGGTGGCCCAATTCGTGTCGGAGGGAAGCATAGTTGCGATGTCGAAATCAAATAAAGCATAGGAGAGGCGACCCTTCCAGCCCATGTTAGTGACCACGTCAATGAGCTCAACAAAAAAAAGTGTGAAATACTGAGAAGAGAAAATCGAAGTACTCGGTAGATTCAGAAGATGTTGCTTTGGTGGAGGAATGCCAACATCGGAAGGTCGAGACAAAGGTCATCTCTCAGCGTGGGACACACCGTCCGGCAGGTGCATCTGCGAAACGCGCGAGATAATCCACTCTTTGTTGAAGGTACGAATACACACTCCATCGTTGACTCTGTCACCTGATTCAGGAGAACCGGGCAGGGTGATTGTCCTTGATGTAACAAATTGCAGGCGTCTTTGAGACCATCGGTTCCTGCGTTTGTAAGAATGAAAGTACGCGGAGTTCCTGCTAGTTAGCCAAGGTAAGTTTAACTGCAAAGTGGGGATTCAGGTTGCTATTCTTTTTTGAAAATATGACCTTGCCCTTCGTAGAAAATGGATGGAAAATAAGTAAGATATGATTTTAATTTGATTTACTTACTCGAGGGAAAGTTTGCTCATGGCCGCTCTTCCTCTGGCTGTCCCCGTCAAGTGGAAACGGATTGGAAGTATGATCTGGCACTTTTATGCGCCAAATAACGAACAGCTATACCTCTATAATGAAGCAGATCCCTCGACTTCGTGTACGCCTGTTTGCACTTCTGCTCGTGCCCTATTTCCCGTTTCGCTCCTCTCTCAGACCTTTTTTATTGTTCTACCCTAAGTCATTCACCCGTGTCTCATCTCGGTCGGTCTGCCCCATGACCCCATGAAAGCCTCTTGATTCTTCTCTTCCCCACTCACAGTTACGCCAATTTTTATCATACTCGAGTTCATATCTTTCGCTTGCTCAGGTCATTAAACTCATTCGGAACGCTTTCAACTTTGTGGACCTATCCCACCAGCATCCGTCTGTTCTCCTTTCCCCTGAATGTATTATGCTCACTACAGCTTCCACATGGGTCACAGCTTGCCTTTCCTTTGCCCGCCGAATACATAAACCTTTAAAGGACATCATCATACTTTTATTGCAAGCTACGTGTAGGAACGGCAAGGTTGTAGAGCACAGACAAGAATCCATTCAGCCGAGTCGTTATCAGACTCTGGTGGAAGAAGCTTCTGAGCAGACGGCGAAACACCCTGCTTGCTCTCCTGCCGCACTGAGCTGAATATTGAGTCTAAAAAATAGAAAGTCTGTCCCCTGTCTCTTCTCCTTTCATGTAAGCGCTCGCTCATAAGCGCCTGCTCGGCCGCACTGCTCGTGTCTATCGCGTCAAGTTTGCTCTTCCACATGAGCCACAGCCTTGCCTTTCCAAGTCCCATTAGCCCCAGATTTTAGTGTCTTGAGATGGCACCCTTTCAAAAATGTCGTCTTTCCATCGTATGATGCAGGTTCCGCATATTCTCGAGCTGCTAGTCTCTGTGTCAAGTCCACGAGTTTGGTTCATTTTTGTGCCGAATTTCAGACAAAATCATTCTTTTGAGAAATTGTTCAGTGACGGGTTTTGTTTATGGCCGAAGCGAAGCGAGGCAAAGATCTTGTGTTGCATAAAAAAACGGGGCTTACCTCCATACCTGAGCTTGTTGTTTGTTGACATTGCCAAGACCGTCGTCGGGGATGTGCGGGCCGTTCCCTTCAACATCATCCGCAATGCGGCTCATCCACCTTTCTACTGTTCTTTCACGATCCTCTACAGGTCTCCTGTCACACATACAGGACATCTCCCTTCGACATGCTGGCCAAGGACACACCCTGCTTTTCGCGCTTTCCGCCAACTTTCCTCTTGCAGAGGACCTGCAGGAGGTCGTCAGTCGCCTCACCAAGTTCAACGACGTCGCTAGTGGAGACACAGGAAGAGGGCATACGATAGGGTGTCTCACCGATTCATATGTCAACTGCGAATTCCCGTTCTTCAGGCAGTCGAAAGATGCCCTATCTTGCGCAATTGCCATCCTGGACTCTACGTATTCCGTGCCATTTTACTCGAATTTACGGGGTCGGGTTCAGCCTCAAGTGGGCCGTTGGCATTCATTTCGGAAGACCGATGAAGACGCGATTAGGACAACGGAGGGCATGGAGACATCTTCGGAGACAAATTGGGAGGAGGTTTGGAGTCGATCTACGGCTTCTCGAGGAGAATGGAGAGAAAAACTTCCCCATGTTCTACGTTCAGTGGCGTACGTTCCTCAATATTCATATTATGCTATGTGTTAATGGTTCAACAGCCCTGATATTCAAACTCTTTTGCATTTCTCAAACCCTCATCCTGATGATTTCACACAAACCCTGACACACAACCTTCCCCGTTCTACTACTCTCGGTCTCATCGCTGCTCCAACCAACTTTATCACCGGCAGGGATGTGACCTTATTCTTCGACGGCAAGATCTACAGCGAGGGTTCAGTGGGAGTTGCTCTGCTGAAAGACCAAAAGACTCGAACGAAGACGGACTTCTTAGGTGTAAAACGGCTGTCAGGACCCATGACGGTGACGAGGTATGCTTTGGCGTAATTTTTGACCGCATATTTTTGATCACAAGTCTCAATTAGTATGGAAGGCAACATGGTCAACGCCTTAAACTCCTCAAATCCGACCCAACTGCTACTTCGCGGCATTGAAGTGGCTGGGCTCTCTCCTTCTATATCGACCACCTTCAAAGAAGATGAACAATTTGCCCTTGGTGTCGTAGGACCCTCCGGCGAGGTACGTGGATCAGCTGCTTGCAAAGAAACAACTCTCATGACCCTCTCTTAACTTTCGTGAGCAGATATCTCACACCTACAAAATCACCGCTGGAGACCCGAAGAGCCGAGGAGGCAGCATCTCGCTGGACGCGTTCCGTGCACCAGCAGTTGGTACGGTTGTGCAGGTACGCATATTTTACGGCAAATAGCAAATAACATCACGAATCCTCCATACTGACCAAAGTTCCGTCCAGTTCCTCCATCGCTCCTCGAACAAACCCATGCAACTACCGAACGCCCTGGCCGAGAGCAAAGCACAGACGCTCTCCTTTGTGACGACCCCTGAGCCATCGCCCTCCGGCCCAAGCTCCCCTTCACCAGAGGACCCAGATACGACTGTAGTGATTCCGCAGACCTTCCTGGCGCCGTCGCACCGAGGTTTCGTTTTATCACGTCCCACAGGCTCGGCTGATGCACTGGTAATGCCTGAAGATACGACGGAGCCTGTTGACGTGCGGAAAGAGGGCCCCATCCCAGAGGCGTGGTCGTGTTCCCTTCCTGGTGGGATGGCATCGATCGAATATTGGTGAATGCGTAGCATCTGTCACCGCCTTGAGGACAGCGAGCCGTACATCTAGCGTAGATGGATTCGTGAATTCGTATGAGCCACCGGAAGATCGCCGATCAACCGGTCATGATAGAAATAAAAATCTGAATATAGGTACATAGTCATATTATACAGCAAGAGAATAAACTGGAAGCAAGTATCCCCCTCTCCCATCCGTGGGCTCTTCAGCTATTAGCAGATTCCAACGTTACCGAGTGAAAACGCTGAAACCAACACCAATGCAGAATCCACCAACCAACGCAACACGTACGCGGGCTTCTCCCAACGCGACAAAGAGCCCGCGCACAGACTGGCTCAAACGCTCTTTTAGCGGCCCAAGGAGCGAGACGCCGAAGATGAGCAGCGAGGGGAGGTGGAGAGGGTCGAAGTCAGGATGCTGAGGATGCCAGTACGGCTGTCGCGGCTGCCTGGGCGAGGTCGTGTCGTGTTCCTCCTTCTCCGACATATGATCGGAAGATTCCAAGGCAGCCTTCGGATGGCTTGCACTTCTCTTGGTGACAGTGCCCTCCCTCTCCCGCCTCGCGACGTGCACATCCAGCGAATGATTCTCCATCC